CACGTGGTAGACCTCGTCTCCGCAGTTTGCGAGGAATAAAGCCTTCTTCTGATCCCCGGGAATGCCTTTTTGTCCATTCCCGGCCAGGTGTAGCTCGAATCTTCCCATGTAGGCGTCCCAGTCGTTCGTTTCTGGGTTGAATGCCGGTAGGGAAGACGAGAATTTCAGGGTGGAAGTCATCTTGGAGTCGCGGATAGTTCTTGCTTCGGAAGGCTGCGTGGAGGAGCTCTTGCTTCGAAGTAGATTGCTTGCCACGAGGTTGCCCTTGTCGTGCAGTCTTACTGGTATCCCACCTTCGTCGCCAGTGTTAGATCGCGCAGGCAGTAAGACACGAGTCGAGTGACAGTCAGCTCTCGGTTTATTGGCAAGGCATCAAGTAAATCCGGACTGCTCTCTGGGCCAGGGGAGCCCTCTTTTATGGGATTCCCCTGGCTTGTAATCACACAATTCCATTGGCTGGCAAGACCCCATTGCTAGTTAGCCAACCAGCAACGGGCATGAAACTGTATGCAGATGGTGAAGGCGCGATCACCCTTAATGGGCGATCAATGGTGAAGGGCAATCACCCTTAATGGGTGATCAGGATATGCATAGGGGATTAAGGGGGGGGGGAATACAAAGAACACAACATCCCTCAAGCCTGAAACAGTTCTGTAAAGTCATAGCTAAGCTGTAAGCAAAACTGCACCTGTCTGTAGTTAAATGATACTAACTTTAGCTTCCTAGGATGATATGCCTGAGCCAATACACAGCAATCTTTACAATGCATAAGAAAATAATATGCTTTCTCAAATATTTCCCTGACACCATAGAATAGGAGCCAGTATTGCAATGGTTTAATGAACAATAAAAATGAAAAACCCACCTCTTAAAAATGGAAAGGGGATAGATTTAAAGTGCACTCTAGTGGATGTAGAGCTGATTGGATCTTTATGTGATGTTGCTAAATCATACAATATTTATCCTATGTAGATTATAGACAATAGCAAAAAGAAGGAACAGTTGTGGACTGTTCAATCTTGTGGACTGAAATAAAATCGGAAAAAACCTCTCCCCCCAAAATGGGTAGCTGTGCATGTGGTATTTGCATATTTTCCCTTTCCTGAACTGGTCTTTACATCTCTATGTACTATGCAAGTTAAATATGAGAAACAAGTCAGAGGATTGTCATCTTTGCTTCCTTCAATCCACAGATGAACAGTTTCCTTGCTAAAAATGAAAATGGTGGCATTCCACATTATCTATGTTTATGCTCCAAGCAAACTTTTTTCTTTTTCTTTAAAGAATTTTAGATTTTTAAGTGAGTTGGGAATCCCCAACATTTTATTTTTGAAAGATCACATTAGGCCTATGGGAAATCATGATAGATAAATGGGCACAATTATTCTCAAAAGTACATATAAATAAAGCTAACAGTAAACAACAGCCTAATCGAGGAATTATCAAGACCTCTTCCCACCAATACTGACAGGGCAAGCCACTAGTATATAAAATGAGAGCAAACCCCATTCCCTACTTGTACTGATGATGTTATCTAGTTTGGTAACGAAACACCTGCAAAAAATAACCAAGCTCAGAAAGCACTAAGTATCCCACATACTGCATAAATGAGCATGATTCAATTTGCTTGTTTGCTCTCTGTGTTAATGGTTTTTCTATTCTAACTGGTTCAAGGGTTGGGTTGCTAATAAAGTCTATAACTTTGCATTTGTTCTAATATGTGTGATTCTCATTGTTGGCAAATTCCATTGTTGGCAAATTGTTGGCAAATTGACTTAGTGATCCAAATTATTTCTACTATTTCTTACTATAAGCTTCACAATGTAGAGAGCTGGGGTTCCCCTCTTCCATTTAAAGTAGGGACAGGGAAGCTGATACAACCCAGATGTTTTGAATTACAATTCCTATTTTTCCTTGCCATTGGTCAATTTAGCATGAATTAATAAGAACTGAAGTTCAAAACATCTGGAGGGTACTGATTTGCCTACTTATAAATTTTGCTAGGTGTGCGACCTTCCTTATACCTCTAGAACTGGACTTGATTTCTGTGCTCGGTAATAGACAGGTTTTCTGCATACCCATATGGTTTCCATTTTGTCTGCCAGAACATCTGGCTGTCTTGTGTCTGTGAGGTGCTTCTATAAGCAAGTTGTTGAATATGGGTTGAAGTGTTTGGAAAGTCAAGATTTATTACTGTGCTTAAAATGAAGTCTGACAGATGGTCAGAAATAAACAAGTGTATGTTCATTTCCAGCAAAAGTTCATAAAACGTCTGAACACTGAATGCCAATGAGTGTTACCTTGAGCTATATAAGAAGTGCTCTCCTCTTTCGCAGCAACAGACAAAGGACGTGGTGCAGGTGCTGGTGGCCGATTCATAATAAAGGATCTACCATCTTTCCTTTGCTCTTGAAGTTTGTTATCGATAATTGTATCATACACACCATCATTTACTACAGCAGAAGTGTATGGATCTTCGCCATCTATTTCGTCAAAATAATCATTTATCTTTGGCTCTCCATCTGTCTCCTTATTTTCCGTTTGGCCTTCCACTCTTTTACAGGCTAAAACAAACAGAACGACACTAATGTTATTAAACACAACTCTGAATGAAAGCTTTGACATAAGTTCACTAATATGGACCTTTGTAATTACATGTAATCCTCATTTATTATCTTGTTTGGGGACAGTTTGCAGTTACAACAACAATGAAAAAATAACTTTTTGACCAATCCTCAATTTATGACTTTCAGAGGTCTATAAAGAAAAGGAAAGCTGATGTAAAATCATAATCACAGTCATGGTTTCATTTAACAACCACTTTGCTTAACAAATGAGTTGCCAATCCCAATCGCTAAATGAGAATGATTGGTATGCATACATTCCATGTCTGTCTGTCTGTCTGCCTGCCTGCCTGCCTGCCTGCCTGCCTGCCTGCCTGCCTGCCTGCCTGCCTGCCTGCCTGCCTGCCTGCCTGCCTGCCTGCCTGCCTGCCTGCCTACCTACCTACCTACCTACCTACCTATCTATCTATCTATCTATCTATCTATCTATCTATCTATCTATCTGTTTTTGATAATACCCCATTGAGACTTTTTATTGAATATCAACTTTCTTTGAATCAAATCAGATTGCCTGTAAAATTTAAATCTGAAATTTCAGTGAGAAGTTGACTGATTTGTACAACCTTAATAAATATAGGATAGAACTATAATACAGGAAGATTTCATGAAAGTTCTGATCCATCTATAAAGCTATACCAGTTGTGTGTTTACCTGATAGAGCCATCATAAAGGTAAAAATAACAACTGGTATGCATACATTTCATGTCTGTCTGTATATTATCTATCTACCTATCTACCTATCTACCTATCTATCTATCTATCTATCTATCTATCTATCTATCTATCTATCTATCTATCTATCTATCTATCTATCTATCTATCTATCATCTTCTATGTCACAGAAAGATCCATAGCTAGGTTTATAAATTCCTTGTCAGAAATCGTTTTCTTTAAGCTGTAACATCTGTTTCTACTGGAGTCAAAATGGGAATTATAAACTATGTTCTGAATATTTAAGGAATAATATAGAAACCTCATTATTCCTCATCATTTTAGTGGAAGTTTCAAAAGATCCTCCCAGGAAGTGAAAGTCATAAAAAGAGTCAGTGGATGAGCAAGAGGTAGAGATTCTGCTGGTGGATTATTAGATGCTCAAGAATAAAACGAAGCAGGCATATAGTTCTGTTTGATTACTCTATTTGGCCAACAGTCCCAGTTTGTTAACCACGTTTGGAGCTCCCTGAGGCTCATAGCTAGGCATGTTAGGGGTGGCAGAAGAAAAGGCTGAAATTCCTTTTTTGTCCATGCTCTACTGATTCTGATAACTTGATCTCTGAACTCTTCTAGTGGGATAAATTTAAATTTACCAACAAAAAATTAAAGGGAGAATTAATCCTTTAATTCTTTGTCGGTAAATTTAAATTTAACACACAAATAGTCTGTCGCAGAAGCAACTGCCTGTGAAGGCTTTTAGATTGGGGCTGAAAGGCAAAAGCGGAAGCAGTATGCTCCGCCCCATGGTTTTTCTCGCCAGAAAATACTTCTTCTAGTGGGACTCACATCACTATTTCCTTCCCCCCCCTCAAAGATCAAGGGATGAATCCAGTTGATATTTCAGCTACTTTGCAGAGGTTTTTTCAAATTGCTCTCCCAAAAAGGAGAAAGATGACTAATTACAGATACTTTCCCAAAGATGAAACTACCCTAATGTTTCAAGGAAACACTGCATAATTATACTGATTTATTCAGAAAGAATTCAAAGGGATTTGCTTTCATCTTTGGGATGTAACTGCTTCAAGTTGTTGCATGACACCACAAATTTATTCAAGCACAATGCAGCCATGTGCAAATCTGGTATTATAGCAAGCCATGGCAGATTCTTTCCAATAGCTTTTTAATTCCATCTCCCATCAGTGCAGACAAATTTATAGGGACAGGGTTCTTTTAAGACTCTGAGAGGAAACCAAATTTGGTCTAGAGCAGGGGTGTCAAAGTACCAGTGGGCTGGATGCATCACGAGGAAATGCGCCCACCCCATTGCCAGCAATGGGGAAAAAGCTCCGTTATGTCGCGCGACATCATGTGATGTCGTGAGTTTGACATGTCTGGTCTAGAGAGACCAAAGGGAGTCAGTTTGGTCTAGTAGTTAAGGCATCATACTTGAAAACAGGGGACCATGAGTTCAAATCCTAACTTAACTATGAAAGCTGGCTGGGTGACTTTAAGCTAATCATTCTTTCTTAGCCCAACCCATATTTGCTTAATGATTGTGGCCTTTGCATGACTGCTGCAAAAAAAGGTCACAAAATTGGGCATGGTCACATGGTGACCCATTTAACGACTATCACGTTACCCTTGTCCTTAATGCTTCTTCAGTTCCCAGCATCACTACACATTGTGCATCAATGCAATTCTAATGAATACTTGAATTAATTCCTATAAATATAACAGCTATTTCCTATTCCAATGCAAGAGCATTCCCTTCAGGTTCCTATAGGACATATCAGTAAGTGTAATAGGACATATCAGTACCAATCAATGGTACTGAATCAAACTCCAGAACACAAACGTAGAATTCATAGCAATAATTAGGAAGCTGCCATTGAATATGGTCTTCCTTTCCTAGCCTGCTAATTAGTTTCCTGGATCAAACACTATGCAGCAGACAATGAGGGGATACATATGGTTTTGATCTGTTGTTGCCAGGAGCTTGAATACTATTGTAATTTTGTTATAAATGTTTTGTGTTATTCTGTGAGTCTATACCTGAATACAAGTAGAAAAGTTCACTTTGTTTACTGGCAACAGATTGATTTCGGGGTGGCAAAGGTGGTCCCTCTGAGACACTGACGTTTTCACTCTTTGCTTCTGGGACATCCTTAAATATGTTACTATACAAGCCGTAACAACTATTTCTCAGGTGACATGTATTTTCTTCTAATTTATTTCCTTCTTCTTTTTCTACCATTCCTTCCTCATTATATTCTTTCGGTTCTGCATCAGCATTCATCTCTTTCTTCTTCTGGATTTTCAAATAGGCTCCAGGTGGTTCTTCTATGCTTGGTCTGCCTGTTAATGTTGGGAGGATATATTATTCTTTCATTTAAAATAACCATCTGGAAGCATTTTACACTTTCTTACAGATTTCTACAGAGACACAGTCACAATGCTAATTAAACTTTCATGAATGAATATAGTATAGTGGAAAGCTGTCACATCTATAACTTCAGTGAAGAAACATCTAAAATATTTATCAATGAATAGAAAAGGCTCTCATTAATTTGTAACATTTCTAAACAACATAGACAAAGATGCGATGTTAAATGACTACCGAAATGTCCTCTTCCCTAATCCTGTCCAATTCTGGCTGCACGGTAGCACAAATGCAAGAGTACGGCAAGCTATATGTTATGCAGCTGTGCCTGTTTATTTTTAACAGACTAGGTCAGGGGTCTGCAACCTTGACAGCCTTAAGACTTGTGGACTTCAGCTCCCAGAATTCCTCAGTCAACTATGCTGGCTGAGGAATTCTGGGAGCTGAAGTCCACAAGTCTTAAAGTTGTCAAGGTTGCAGACCCCTGGACTAGGTTGCCAACCTATCAATTTACAGTCTTTAACACAGATACATTTTGCAATTGGGAGAAAAATGTGAATTACTGAGAACTCTGCACTTTATGGACTGCACCACTGATTACACAAATGCAAGAAGAAAAGCATAAACTGAGTGAGCATAAATAGGCATGGTTTCTACCCTAGTCTTGAAGTCATTTAGGCTTTATCTGAAATTTAAAACATTTGGAATATCTATTAATAGTGTGGAGAAATGGCTACCATATATATTTTAATTGACTATCTCTGGGAAAGTAATACATATAAATTGCATTGATGTATACGTTTAACAATATTATCAAAGAATTAAACTTTTTAAAAAATGAATAGTGGAATGCTCCATTTTAGAAACTTACCAAGTCCATTAGAATGAGAATCTGAGCTCATCATAAACACATAAATGTCATCCTCAGCTTTTATTTCCTTCTCATCACTTGTGTTTTTGTCTTCATTTATCTGGATGGGGGATAAAAAAAGTCAAATAGCACTTGATGGTATCAGATAACAGCAACAGCTGGAGGTCATATAGCAGAAGACAATGCTGGAAGCCATCTCCAACTATTTATCCTTTTCTTCCAGCACCTAATATGATCATAGATGGATTTGATCCACACAATCCCTTCTTTAGAATAGAGAGGTAGAAGAATTTTAGCAGCTGTTTAGTGATGGTCCTGGCCATGATTTAAGAACACCTGTTCTGAATACAATTACATGGGGTTTAACATGAGCTCACTGGATTTTTTTTGAACAACATTGGTATTTATTACCAATTAGGAGATGAGAAAAATCTCTGCCATTTCTTAGACTACTTTCCTTCTTCGTTTTTAAACTGCTAAATGGCAGTTTGTATTCAACCTGCAATTGTTCAGTTGGATGTGTTTGCTAAAGGATACCTGGTATTTATTTATTTAATGTCTTGGAGTCAGTGTTTTGAACTGTCATAAAAATTATCTTATGTTTTTCTGCTGGTTTTATTTGATCACTTGCGGCTGAACTTACTTTTCTTCTATTGCTGTTGGGTTTGATTTCTGTGTGCGGCATCTAAATTCTAAACCTTTTTTTGCCGTAACCTGCCCACCTCAATAGGCAGAAATTCACAACCTATTGGGTATAGATTGGACTGGATCTAGGCTCAGTATGCTAACTTTAGATCCTGGGGAAATACATTCAGGTTATCTGGTCTGTATCTATCTTTATTTTTCATTATTTTATTTCAAATGCATAATTGGCAACAAAAACCAAACAATGGCAAAACATTCTGTCTAATTCAGGATTTCCTCACCCTTTTATGAATCATGAAGCTGAGATACTAATCTGAAGAAGATGGCATCAGGGCATTTCCCAAAATTGTGTTTGCAGAGTCAGAGAAAATTAATTAATTCTAGGAATGGTTGATAGTTTCCTCTCTCTCTGAGATACTCTGAAATTCTTCAATGTTTCTCAAACCCACATTCTTCCCCATTTCTACAGCAACTTCCTTCCTTGACATTACCAAGGAAAAATAGCCTTTTTTTTTACTCCCAGCATGTGGGGAGTAAGTCTTATCATAAGTCTTTAGGTCTCTGCACAGCACATTGAATCACATAAAATTGTTGATAAAAGTTTGGGGGTTGTTTTTTTTAAATATGCTTTTGAACAGCTATTGCAAACTCAGTTTAGCTCCTTGGCAATTTTTAATGTCAATGCATGGATCCCATTTATGCTCCCATTGCCAAGTGAGTGAAATGAGAGCTAGGTTTTCATCATATGTGGCCATCTGTTTTATTGCACAGATTTCAAATAACTGCAGATGCTTTTGCACTATTGCTTTCAGAAATAATAAAAGGAAATATAACTTGATATTGGCAAAATGAATTTAAAGCTATATACCAAAATGCTTATATTGGAGGAAATTTTAAATTAGATTAGAGAAAGGACAACCAACTTATTTAATTCATACCTGAGATACATTTTTTCCAGTGTTTGTATCATTTTAATAAAAAATAGCAAGACATTTCTTCTTGAAAAACACTTGCATCAAGTAATGAGTTTTTTTTAAAGATTCATTTGGTATTTTTGTTATATTTTTATTACAATTCTATACTTTTCACACACTTGAAATATTTTTTTATAAAAGTAAGTATTACATTGCTCTTAGGAGGCTACATGATGATTGCAAAATTTTCGGTATTTGATTGATGGCAGCAGCAGATTATTTTCCAGTTCAGACAGAGTAAGATGTTCATATGTGACTTTTCATATAATGTTTTGCTTGGCAGAAGCATAGCTATAACTTTAGCTGATTTCTCTTTTGAAAGGTCTACTCCAAGTAAATTTATTTAAGCAAGATCATCAGTGCAATCACTATTTTGTTAATGCTTAGGAATGTAAAGTAGCCACAGTATAGGACAGAATGCTGGTCTAGATGGGTCACTAATCTGTTCTTAGATTTGTATATTTTTGCTATTGGGGCCTCTTTGATATAACTGGCTCATTCATATAGAAAAATGTCTTGATTCATCTAATAGCCTTTTGAATCATTCACCTAGGAATATAACTCCCAGAATTCCCAAACAGTGTAAGCACTGGGAACTGTAACTACGAAATCTGAGAATTGCAGTACCAATACATGTAAAAGGCAACATTTAGTGCAATACAGATCTAGTCCTTTAGTTTATTTCCACTAATAATTAATCAAGAATCTTCTGCTTTGAACTCAGACATTCAATACAGAAGAATATTAGGTAATACTAATACTAATACTAATAATAAAGTTGGAAGGGACCTTGGAGGTCATCAAGTCCAACCCCCTGCTCAGGCAGGTAACCCTATATCATTTCGGACAAATGGCTGTCCAGTCTCTTCTTAAAAACTTCCAGTGTTGGAGCATTCACCGCTTCTGGAGGCAGGTTGTTCCACTGGTTAATTGTTCTAACTGTCAGGAAGTTTCTCCTTAGTTCTAGGTTGCTTCTCTCCTTGATTAGTTTCCATCCGTTGCATAATAATAATAATAATAATAATAATAATAATAATAATAATAATAATAATAATAATAATGATGATGATGATGATGATGATGATGATGATGATGATGATGATGATGATAGAACTATTGTCTATGAATGTGCTTAATTCTTTCTGTAGTCATTTAAATTAGCTTACAATTAGCATGCAGCTAAATTGCTACACAGGACTATGCAAGTGCTGTACATACAAAGAATACTGTAGACTACATTCTTTGATAAACCTACAAGGGCCCAATGTAACACAAAAGGTACATTGTTTAATAAATTAAAATTATTACGAAGCTTAATTATGCATGGTCAGAAGATGACATGTATTTGTCAAAATGTAAATATTCGCAATGCTATTTACTCAGACTCCATTAAGTTGCATCCTTCTTTAATGCTATTGAGTCATTTATCTGATTGTGTAGCTCCAATAACTTTAATTTTCTGTTCAAAAAACATTCAGGCATAGCTGAAAACATCCAATTATTGGCTCAAGGTATTTTGCTTTTTGAAATGGCTGTATACTACAATTAAACAGTTATTATTCTCAGCACCTTTCGGTGCAACTCTACTTCAAAGGATTGTTCCTCTCCCTTATTCCTTTATATATTTTCTTTCTGAAAACTATTTTGGTCCAAAGGGATGAAAGATCTACATCAGGTGTCAAACTCAATTTCATTGAGGGCCTCATTAGCATTGTGGTTGCCCTTGGGGAGCCGGGTGGGTGTGGCCAGGGTAGTCATGGCCAACTGCATGGGTATGGCTGAAGTGGGCGTGGCTGGTGGTCACAGCTGACTTGGAAGCCATGGCCAGAGTGGGCGTGGCCTCTTGAGGACAGAGACTCCCCACCTTTCCCATTTGACGGGCCTGTTGCGGGTGGGGTGGCAGATGGGAGGCTCATCCTGTGTGTGCGGCGGAGCTGGAGGACGCAGTTGGATGGTGAGGGCCAAGTGCGCAGAGGCCTTAGCACGGCACCATCCCTGCATTGATTGTGCACAACTATTCTTTACTGCCCCAACTCTCCAATCCTAGACATGATTCAAATATGGCTTTAGCCATGCAAGAACAGTGATATCACTGGGTCAAAAGCCAAATAGCAGAGAGAGAGAAATGGTCCCAGGCTGTATGAAAGAATGCCTTGGAACTTGTAGTCTACTTGGGAATAATGATGGATTCGCTCAATTTCTAAAAATGAATTTTAATTACCATTAGTTCTATTCAGGAGATTTCAATGTTAATATCTTTACTTGTGATCAGTGAAATGTTAGAACTTTTCTTTAGTCTGACCTTGAAGCCTTGTCTTATTTCTTGAAAACTCTGATCTTTGCCAGAAATAGAACCTTCAGGACCTTAAATGCCAATATTATCTCATTTCCTTGGAATATTGACAGTGCTTTTGCTTAAAGACTTTGCTGTAAGTACTTTCTGCTGCTTTTGATCCTGACCACTGACTGTTTCTCTTGCACTGACATCTGAAACAGTGGACTAAATAGCCTTTCTGTACTGTAGAGTGTAGTCCTTTCAATCTAAACCTTCAGATGTTGAGGGAATGAGGTTGTGCGTATTAGCTTTGCACTACCATCACAAAGGCTTGCTAGTCACACTTGCTTAGTTTGCATACAACTTACATACTCAGAAATATGTGATATGAAGCCCCCAGATGGATGAGTAATTGGGCATGTGTAGTTATGTGCAAATACAATGAAGCTGCAGAGCAAAGTATTGTATACCACATTAGGGGAAAAATGATGGTCTGAAAAGCAGTAAAAGGAAACCTTGTATGAAATATTTAATTTAATTAATTATGAGTGTATGTCTGGTGTTTCAAAAGACATGTTAACTTCCATCACTTATAGCTTAAAAATGTAATGAAAAGATAAAATTGAAAACCACACCAATAAATTAAGAATACATAGAAAGAGGCATTTAAATCCAGTTAATTCTTTTAATAAAAGTTGTAGAGAGAATCTCCTTTAGGAAATAGTTTAGGGTTGGTTGCATAGTCAGCCAGATGTTTAGACAGGATTTGAAATTTTTATCCACCTATTGGGCATCATGGTTAATTGCATATTTATCCATATGTTTAAACAGGTTTTGGCATTTTTATCCTTTCAAGTCCATTCCAAGGACTCGAAAGCTATTGTTACAGAATGTAAGCTGTTCCAAGTAAAACTGCCTTTTGCAATTGACTAATGGTGATTTTGTCAATGCTGATGGTGTTCAAATGGTGGTCCAGTTGTTTTGTTTAGTATTATTGTTATTATTATCCTACTGCAAACAATTCTCTCTCAACAATTAAAATACCCACAATAAAATAACATAAATGACAATAAATAAAAATAAGTAAATAAAAATTGCACACTACAGTAAAGAAGGTTCACAATTTCCTCTGAAATTAACAATCCTTAAAAACCAGACAAGAAAGGACAAGTCTGATTTCTAAGGAGTGAACTTTTCAGTGTACCA